CTCTCTCTTTCTCTCTCTTTCTCTCTCTCTCTCTCTCCCTCCCTTCTAAAACCATCTTCATAAATTTCTTAGCTACATTTAGCATTTACATTTAAATTAAAGTGATAAAATGAGTCTGAACGTCTGAAGCCTTATAAAAGCTGTGTAGGATCGCTCTGTGTGTTTCATTTTTTTTATACTTTTGGTCTTCACTTCCTCATCAGTGTGTTTTGTCTCCATGCAGAGAAAAGAAACAGAAAATACAGGACATTCGGAAAAACGTGAAGGATGCCATAGTGGTGAGTTTCCCTCTGAGTGTTTGTTGTTGCATCCCATTTTACTGATTATTATACCGGCTTTTTAGCATCCCCCCCTCTCCTCCTCCTCCTGTATTCATCCTGCTTAGTGCCTTTTCTGTTTTTTTTTGTCTCCCATTTCTGGTTTATAGACTATAGTGTCTGCGATGAGCACTTTAATACCCCCAGTCCCAATAGCCAACCCAGAGAACCAGTTTAGGATCGAATACATCAAAAGCATAGCACCACTCTCAGACTTTGACTATCCACAGGTAAGTGCCTTCTCTTTTTAAAACTTCCTGTGGATGTGTTTTTGCTTGTGTGCTGAGTATGCGTGTGTTTTTAATCTTTTTCCCCCCAACGTGTGCTTACGTGGGCGTTAGATGGCATGTGATATAATGGGTTTGGTGTTTCAGCGGCGAGGTATGTCGGACAGCGGCGATGCGGGAGATAAAACTCAGGGCGCTTTTAGCTGGAAATTTGCTGCTTCCTTCCTCCCTTCACACCTTTCTAAAGAAGCCGTTTACCTTGAAGCTGATGAGAGTGGCAGCCTGCCGGGCGGCTCGGTTCCCTGTTAACCGTGTGGATTTGAATACAGGAGTCGGGAGCACACGGGATTCTTCTGTGTGTGTGATCAGCCATTCAATAGCACGAGATCATGTGTTGGAAATGTAGATAATGTTTTACATAATTCTGAAAGTGTTCCTTGTTTGAGACTGGCCGCGCAGCCACAGAGCAGGAGTGACGAATTGATAAAGAGCTATAGATAGATTTTTACTGTAACTGAACGGAAGTGTGAACGGTTAATCTGTAGTTTGCCCGTTCGTCTGCGCTTTGGAGAGCCGGCTCTGTAGCTCACCAACACAAAATCTCACCAAGATAGTTCTAGATGGCAGCGAAAATATCCTGTACACTTTAAAAACGACAAAAAATAACTTATAAGTAACATTTAAGCAAAATATAGAGTAGTGTAGGGATGTCCATTCACCCAACGGCCATTTCTGGCCTAAATCAAGACTGGCACAAACATGACCTTTTGTAAGTTTTTAAAATTATGCCTTCTTAAACTGAAAATGTTAACTACAACGCAAATAATTTTTCTTTAGTTACCCTTTTTTATCTCACAAAAACACATAGCGAGTTTTTTTTAAATTCAAAAACAAACTTATTGGACAAAAAAAAAAGAGGAAAGTTTGTAGAAGATGATTCTTATTTTTTATTACTGGAAATAAACTAAAAATATTTCATAGCCTTCATGTTGAGCCCAAAGTGACGGCAAACGTTAAATATTACATGTTTATTTACTGATGTGCAGGTGAATGAGAAGTAATTTACAACATTTTGGGTTGTTAATTGGGGGGTAAAAAAAGAAAACGTTGGCCCCTGAAAACTTCATGCAAAACGTTTGGAGTCAATATTTACTTAACATTGATGGAAAAACTACCAGCTTTATTGGCAGATAATTTCACTTATAACCAGAACATTTTCCCCATATTACGAGTAAAATAATCTGCCGATGGAACTGGAACTTTTTCATCAATATTAGGAAATGATTTGCTCAAAACAAGCTCCTATATCTTACTGAAAAGATGTTTCCACTAGAAACTAAACCAAAAAATACTTGAGATTCTGTGTAAAAGTATCTGCACCCTTCTTTTTGTTCTTTTGCAAATCGGAGCGGATGAACTAAACAAATGCAAAAAACAAATTTCACTGGGAAATAAAGTTATTCAAACAATCTGTGAAAAAGTTTTTGTCCCTTAACTTTTATGACAACATTTGCTGAAACTGCTGGTGAGGTTTTTGTTTTGACGCAGTCATATTGGGAAGTTTTCAGTTTGAATTGACTTGGACTAGGCCGCTTCACTTTTTTTTTTTGTTTAAACTCCTCTGAAACTGACAGTTGGACGTTTTTCTTTAGGGTTTTCTCATAGACAGCTTAATTCATGGATTTCAAGTCTTCCAGGTTCTGAAACAGCTGCAGAACTTCATACTAGATATTTTTATGTTGGACTTAACAGGATGCATACATTTCTAATGGTTTACTTTTATCTGCGCCATTCGCAGAATATTATGTTTTTCTCTGTAAGTGTAACGGACCTTTATTTTCCCTTCTTGCTTTTTAGTTTTAACCTTGAAACTCTCTCACTGATGCCATTTTTGCCCGGCCTCCATGTCGTTGAATCATGAACTCTGACCTGAACTGATGCATGTTGGTCCTTCAGTGCGTCAGATGTTGTTGTGGGTTCTTTGTGACCTTCTGAATGAGGCGTCGTCTCGCTTTTGGAGTAAATTTGGTAGATTGGTAGGCTGCACCTGAGAACTGCTCTGTGCATTTCCGTGGCTTCATGACTGTTTCCACACTGATAGATGTCAAAGACTATATATTATATATACATTATATTCATTATTATTGAGGATTTTTTAGATCCTTCAGCCTACTTCGTTTTGTCAGAGGGATTTTTTTGAGTGATTTCTCGACTCCACATTCAGGCCTGAGGGTAATCAGGCCTGAATGAGGCTACTGAAACAGAAAAATGTGTTTCCTCACAGGTATTTCTTGATTTAATAAGGACTACAATTACAGTTAAAAATCCGGAAAGGGGCAAATATTTATTTATTTTTTGCTATACTTTAAAAAAAATGATGATGAAAGCTAGCGACATTCAAAAATGGAGATTATTTTGTAATTAAATAATTTCCTGATGTATTTGAAACTACTATATCCATTGTGGAACATATTTATGCTTTGCAGTCTTTAAAAAAGAAAAATCAGAAACGTGTTTGGAAAGAAAAAAGAAAATTGATACCAGCCTGGAAAATTGTAATCGCTGCATCTCTAATTTTTGTTTATTTTATTTTATTTATTTTTTTGCCGTTTTTTTTTCTTTTTTTTTTTTTTGCTGTTCTGGATTTCCTATAGAAGTGTGCCATACTACATATGTTGGTATCAGTCAATACCAAGCAGATACTGATCCCAATACTTATTATTTAAATATGATATACCGTCTAACTTATGAACTTTAGGAGTTTTTGTGGGTTTTCCTTTGAAATATTTGATTAAAATATAGGACATAATTTAAAACAAATTATAGGTGACTAAAAAAAAATATTGGATAACACATGATAGGCAGTAGAAATATAAAAACAAAACAAATGTATGTGCATTGTTTTCTTAAGCAAAGTATGAAATATTGTGATTTGAGAGCAAATCAAAGCAAAAACTATTTTTTATGATTGAGCTGAGAAGCTATAATAAAAAAAATAAAATAAAAATTCAAGATGGGATCTGAAACTGAAGTATTGATCTTATCATGTTCGTATCGATTAGGGCTGGACAATAAATCAGCAACAAAACATTGTGATAGATAATACGTCTGCTAGAATATTCAATATTCAATAATCGAATATTTGCTGAACTCTGATTCAGAACCCCACTGCATTCTGGGAGATGAAGGAGTTGGTCAAAAAGTTTAGCCACCCAACCTCTCGGCCAGGTGAGCAAGATTGGTGGAATCAACTGACTCGCTCACTCTTTGGTTGCCTAGCAACAACTGCTCACTCTCTGGTTACCTAGCAACAACCTCCTGAGTAACTGGCACAGCAGCAGTTTCAGGTGTTGTCCCCATGCCTCATAACTGCTTAAAAGAAACAAAAAGCACAGCAGCAGGGTGCAGTGAGAACTGTGGGTAAAACAGGAAAGGCCACACCACCAGTTTGGCATTATTTTAGATATTTAAAACAAAAAAACTAATCAATAATTATAGATAATTGTATATGAAATGCTTATATTGTTTTATATTGTTTTTCAACCATATCACCCAGCCCTTGTATTGATCAGATACTTATACCGACTTAGTATCTAGTATTGATATTTTGGACCCGCCTGGAAACTAGATGTATATTGCATATAGTAAGTGCTGTGCTCTCCCTCCCCCACCTGTTGCTGTGCTACTCACTTCATGTCCAGCAGTTCTTATTTTAAGTGGTATTGTTTCTGCGTGCCTTCTTCACACGTTAACCGCAATGTTTCCCCTTCGAGCAGCTTTATTTAACATTTGCATCTTAAGAACCAGCTGGGTGTCGGGTTGAGTGAGGGGCCCCGGGGCCACAGGGAGAGGCGGCGTTGGGTTCCCATCCCGAAAGCGAACAACATGGCTCTGTCTGGAGCGCCTGAACTTCTCATCAGTCTCGGGCTTCACTTGTGCCGTCAGTGTCGCCACCACATTGTCGCTCAGCGCCACCAGGCATGAGATCCGGTGTCCCGGCCCGGCCAATCGGAGAGCCGGGCTTTCATCTGGTGGCGCCGTTTTGAAACGTGGAAGCGCGTCTCGGTGGGAAAATACTGCACGGGTGATGTCATGTTTTGTGATAAGAAAGAGAAGAAGACAATAACTTGGGTGTCACTGAAATGAAATGTGCCTTTTTGCCAAACATCCAAGTAGTTAGAACTAAATGTACTTTTATGATAAATATAGAAACGATTCACTTTATCTGTTGGAGGAACTGCAGCTTGTGAAGGTTTTATTTAGTTTGAGAAATTTAATCAAACATGTGAGTCTAGTTGTTTGGAGCTTTGCTGATGATTTTCCTCCTTTGGTCATTTTTTAGTTTTGTGGTTTTGGTTGCTGTATTCCTGACGTTTTCAGGTACTGTCTTGGTTCATTCAGTTTGTCTTCATCTCTGGGATGTTTTGTACCAACTTTGACAACAAATTATTTTAATGTACTTTATCTGCAAGTACTCATAGTTGTTTAGGTTTGATGAGGACCATTATCAATGGAAATGATCAGCAGAGGAAGTTATAGTACCTAAAAAAAATTCCGATTTGATGAATTAATTGAATTTTCTGTTTTTTTTTTTTTATATTTCTTTTTCCAATGCCCCGCTTGGGAGACCCGAGAGCTGCCATCTTGTTTTACAAACGTCCTTCACAGCTTCCTTTTTTCCAACTTTGAATTCAGGTCGACTGAGAAGAAATTATTTTTAGTTCTTTAAGATATTTTCAGTAATTTGTATTTTTTAAGACAAAAAAAGATATTGTAAATTGAATTTAGTTTGAAAAGAAGATTATATTTTTAAGCCATTCCGGCCACTCCTACCATTCATCCAACTAGTTAGTTATTTTCCAAAAATGCATTACATTATTCCCAGTTTCAAAATATTTATGTTTTATTTATTTGATTTTTTTTTATTGCAAAAGGTGAAAAAAGTAGCAAAACAAAAATATTTTGAGGAACATTTGTGGTTAAAATTGAATTGGACCTTTGTG